ATAAACTATTCAAACTATTAATTTTCATGTTCAATATAACAACTTCATATAAGTAAGCATTAATTTGTTTAACAAAATTACATTTGGATACTTTGAATTTATTAATTCTACTTATAAATTACCTGTACATCATGATTTCAGTTCCTTGTTGGATTATATCTTCAAACGGTATTTGTAACGAAGGCAGTCCTTGAGAAGTACCTATGACAGTTTCTACAAATACATTTTTTTTAAATAATATGACGATAATAATGTATATATTCACTTTTTCTAAAAGATTATTAAAATATTGATTTTAAATTTATTATAACTTATATTATACTATTTACTTATATTATTATAATTTATTATAACTTTATTATAACATATACATTTTGTATATGAAATTTATGTTGTTTATCATGTTATTCAAAATAAAAGTATTATATAATTATAAGCAGAAAGCAATACCACAAAATGCGTTCAGTATATGTTCGCTAACAAATGATGTTAAATCTTCTACAACTGTGTCTTCCATATTTTTTAAACACTTTGCCATGTTTTCGCCCTTTTTAATTATGGTGTCAGCAAACTGCTGTAATACAGCAAAATGGAATGTGGGAGTTAATATCTTTCGTCGCGATCGCCATTTTGTACCTAAAACAAAAATAATTTATCAGTTGATGCCTAAAACAACAACAATATATTAATCATAAAATATTAATAATAGAATTTAACATCTCTTTGATAAAAATTAATTAAACGTTATCAAAAAACAAGCTTTATTAAAAGAAATTTGAGATTCTGCCGTTCAAGGATTTAATTATTTTTACATAGTAAATTATGAAAAAATATAATTTGTATTTGTATTTGTCTATATCTTTTTCTATATTTGTTAACTTGTAATGAAAATATTACATTGTATACAGGATGTGTCAAAATTGTGAAAACGGTCAAATATCTCAAAAACATAGCATTTAAAAAAAAATGTTCCAGACAAAAGCTGTAGGATTTCAAAAGATCTATTTAATGACCGTATCAGTTTTGCCCTTGAGTGGCGTCGTCAAAATTAAGTTAAAGTCATGTCATTTTTTAAATGACTAAAATATAACAGGCGCGCGCTACACGCGCGCCACTAAGCTTTTCATATTATATATTTTTATATTATTCGTTGACGTATCGTCGCGATGAAAAATAGAAACTCATTCATCCTTGTTCATCTTATTTTTGTCCTTGTTTAAAACCAATTCAAAGTTTCATTCGCTACTAACCTCGCTCGCCTTTTATAAATTGTCATTTGTAAATTGACAGTAACTCACGAAATTAGCGCAGTAAAAGAACCAATCAGTATCGCGGAAAAGCGGCAACAATAAATTTCGAAATGCGACTTAAATGCGAGTAATCTCCTTTTTTATAAAGGATATTAAGGAAGTAAATATAACGTAAATAAAAAAATAAAAAGGAAATATAAAAAGTAAATAACGAAACGCAATCGTAATTTTGTCTTCATAAGTATGCATAATTTGGTCTGTTCATATATAATCATAAACAATTTTATCTATTTATATATAATTAGATCAGATCCATACATAATTACATCTACAAAATTATATAAAATTATATGTAATTAGATAAACTTTTTTCCCGGGATATTATCTAAATTAAAGAAGTTTTATAAAATTCATTTAAAGTTTTATTTAATTTAATAGTAAAATGTATGATTGTAGTAATTAATGTTATTCAAATTGTTGTTATTCAAATAATTATTGATATTTTATTAATTCAATCCTTAAAAAGTTTATTTTTTGTGTAAATAATAATTTTTATTGTAAGAATTAGACGACCGGTCATGAAAGAGATTCGGATTACAAACATCTAGAGGAGGTTACAACCTAGAGATTACAAACAGAGAGGAGCCGTCGCGGTCGTGCAGACTAAGTGTCTTGGTAGTAAGCGAGGGATTCCGAGTTTCAAATTCAATCTCCGTTTATTTTTCTGAATCTAATAAATATCTTTCATTATTAAATATAAATAAAGGAGAAATTTTTCAATTATTAATTTGTCATTAATAAAATTATTGACAAACTTGTATATTTATACCATTTCTATGTTATCTGTATATTGGATACATACAAAGGGTGTAGAGAAAAGCCATATTTTAAAAATGCGCACTCTTATATAAGTATTTGTATCTCGGAATTTGTACTTAAGATGTTAGAATAAAAGGTTTACAGACTCAATGATTATGATCTATCTTGTCTGTCTGCAAAATTATTCGTATGACTTGGATAAAAAATGGAAAATATTGAAGTGAAATTACTTTTTTTATAATTGCTTTTATTTCTTCAGAATAGTTTTTAATTTTTTGTATAAGATCATGTTTATGATCCTTATAATTAATCGAGTTTTATGTCAGTAATCAAAAATAAATCTCAATTTTATAATCAGTGGAAAAATTCTATATGAAACAAATGTACGATATGCTATAAACTATAATATATATGCTATAATCTCAATTACATTCCAACTTATTTACGATTACAAATTTATTACGAAACAATCCATATATGAAGATACTTATTTCATATACGACTAATAAATAGTCTAGTTAGACGCGCTTATCTTCATCTTAATGAAAACGAAAGCCAAACAGTGATGGTCGAATGAGTTCTATAATACGAGTATGTGAAAAGTTATAATAATTATACACAATTACTTTTTTTTATCTTTAATACATTCATCTTTATGTTCTAAGAAAATCAATATTTTCTTTAAATATCATAAACATATATTTTAATGATGGAAAATTTTAACAAGTGGATAAACGGGGCAATCAGGAATTTTTTAAAAATAATATAATACTAAAAAATTATATAATACTATTATACTACTGTTATATTATAATATTTTTAACTTCTTGGTACATAATTGTCAAAATTCGATCCTCTGTGAGATCAATACAATTGACAACTATTCACGAAGTTAGCGCAGCGAGAGAATCAATCGGCATCGCGAAAAAGTGCAACAATAACTTCGAGAGATGCGAATATCGATGTCATGCCTTTTTTTAAAAAAGAAAATTTTTATTGTATATTCTCGTAGCCTACCTCGAGGGTTTTTCAAAATACTATAATGAAGTTATTTTCCTTTAAATACTGTCATTTTTAAGATTTTTCCATAAAAGACAATGTAAAATTATTTTCTTGGCGCGCTGCAAATTTTTGTTATTGTAAATTTCAAGCCTTATAACTCGAAAAGTACATAAAGAAAAATAACTTTATAGTGTTTCGAAAAGTTCTTGAGGCTAGGAGAATATATAATAAAAAATGGAAGTTTCCATTTAAAAAAATTAATGATCTTGACTTGACCTTGACGATGCCACCCACAGTTAAAACTGATACTGCCATTAAATATATCTTTTGAAACCCTACAACTTTTGTCTAAAATACTTTTCTGAAAAATGCTTTGTTTTGGAGATATTCAACCGTTTCCACAATTTTGGCACACTCTTATAGTCCTTCCTATAAATGATAAGATGTTTGTATTTTACCTCATGAATATGTAATAAAAATTCGACAATAAGAATATATGTTTACACACAAGAATATATGTTTACAAATAAGAATATATGTTTACACACACGCATGCATGCACGCACGCACACACGCACGCACGCACGCACGCACGCACGCACGCACGCACGCACGTACACACATATAGATGCATGTGCATGTGTGTGCGTGCGCGCGTGTGCTACAACGTATAAAAAAAGAACATTACCTCCACTGGTGAACAGACCTGTGTTCACAGCATTTTGAAAAGGCTTGTAAAGAAAACTTTTTTCAATATGCGTCGTCGATCTTAATATTACCTTAAAATATAAAGAATATTAAGATTTACATTGTTTTATTGAAATATCATGTAATGCAATTAATTGTTATTAAAATTATCACTAACATTTCACCAATTTTAATCTTTAATTAATTGATTTTTATAAATAATAATTTTTTGCTAAATATAATGAAATTATTGATAAATTTAAAGGAGTATGTGATCAAAAATTGACCGAAAATAGAACTAATAGAATAAAATTAACGAATTAATTTCATTCGATTCTCCTCAAAAGACGGCAATTTTGAAAGTTTTATCTCTTTGACGCTATTTTTTTCTCAAAATTGTGACGTGATAGTCAACTTTTGCCAATAAATTCATATTCAGCAGGCAGAAATACGTTGGAAATGACTATTCACACTCATGTTGCAAAGTGTTCTATAGTTTAAGATGTCATTTTGTAGTGTCTAACTTTGCTGGGCATTAGATTATGATAATCACCGATTTGACCTCCATTATCATTGGATTTGTTTCGATAAGGAGAATTGAAAAAAAATCATTAATTCACAGTTTCATTTTCAGTCAATTTTTGACATACATCATTCTTATATTACCTCTATATCATCAGGATGACGGATAGCTACAATTGGTGTAAAGAATAACCACAATTTAAAAATAGAATAATTTTGATTAAGGCTGATCAGGAACTTAAAGAGATCCTCTGAAAAATGTACACATTGTAAAATAAGAATATTGCAAATACTGGAAAACTGGTATAATTGGTTCACTAATATTTTGAATATATAGTTTGTATATATTAAGTATGTATTAAGTATATATTAAATTTATGACAATAATGAAAATATGAAGTTGCATTTTTATAGAACGTCAATAATTTTGGAAATTTCAAAATATAACTGTAAAGAAAATATTTTACTTGTAGCAATATCCCTACAAGAAAACTAATATTTTTTTATTATTAACACTATCGTACGATCAGAAAGAAAGTATGATTTTTAAAATTATTTAAATTAAATGAAACATCTTATATTTATATATTATAAATAAATTTAGCAGTTTTATTTAGATATGTTAAAAACGTATTGCAAATTAAAAATATTTTGTAAGATTAAATTTGACAAAATAAAAATTTGATAGAATTATTAAAATTATAAAAAAAAACACTAAATATTAGACATAATTTGATAGTTCCATATTATATAGTTAATTAATTTAAATATAGAGTAAATTAGTTCATATATGTATATATTAAAATGTATATATTACTTACTGTATAAATGTGTAAAATACAGTAAATTACCAATAATTGGATAACCTGATGGACCTGGTATACGATTGATAAATCTTCCATTTTGTCCATAATGCACGTAAAAATTATATGTCAATAAAATAAAAATAAATAATAAAAAAGTAATAATCATTGTAACAATCATTTTACACACATCACTGTAACAATCTCTCTTGACCAAATATATTTAATTTTGTTGTTTTAAATTTCTTCTTTGTTTGTCAATAAATACGCGTCAAAAAGGTGTTTTTGACGAATATTGTACTATGTCAGATTATAACACATATGTGCTGAGAAATATATCGGACGAGGAGAAAGAAGAATCCTGAGAAAGAGGAGTAGGGAGATATGTGAGAGGGGAGAGCAAGTTCGGAAAATAAAGATTGAAATAAGAAGAAAAATTTGAAAAAAAGAGAATATAGATCCTAAGCTTTTATCTGCGAGCAAATAAAAGCTAAATTTCTGAGCTTGGAGACCTTGACAAAAAGAAGACGACCGAAAATGATCTACAACAATTTTGCTATGCTTACTAAACGGAGGCTTTCCTTCACCTTTTAGATGCGCATTAAATACGATACCAATTATTTGCATTCTGGATGGATCACATAATTTTACATAAATACTACTTTATAAATGTTTTTTTAATTGTACAAGAATAATAAGCATGCGCAGGCACGCACACACATGCGCGAATTCTGACTAGCAACTTTTTCTTGATACACAATATTTTTCATGATATACTAAGGCTGATAATAACTGAACAAAAATCCACAGATAACTTTGTCGTAGCGTAATTCTACAAAAAAAGTCATAGAAAACAGTTCTTTAATTTGCAAAGAAATATTCATATTTTATAATAATTACATGATATTTGCAAAAAAATTTATACAAGTCTATAATGTGCGATAAATTAAATATTTTTTTGCGGGACATAATACGTCCTTACTTTTGAAAAGATGGTGGAAAAAAAGGGAGAATAATATCAATAACAATTGCTTCTTAAGGTACAAACTTTAGCCTCAAAAATTAAAAACAAAAATCTTTTAAATATGACAATTTTTAATTAAATTATACTTACTTATATTTAAATTTTGATATAAATTTGTCCATACGATAATTTTGTTGACAAGTGTACTTTTAGTACATTCAAAATCATTAACTTTATTTAAAAGTGCAACTTTATATTTTTATTATTTTAATAAATTTAACATACATATTAAGGATATACTAATGAACCAGTTAATAAATTTTCCAGTAGTATATTCTTATATTCATGACATATATTCCAAATAGCAAGATGACGTCATTATGACTTGGGATATATGTCGTGAATATATCTTTAGTATATCTTTTTAAAAGATATTTGAAAGTTGCTGATCTCCCTCTTTGACAATTATCCTATTTTTAAAATATGTATATATATATACTTTTCTCTACACCCTTTGTATGTATCCAACATCCAGATGACATAGAAATGATATAAACATTCAAGTTTGTCAATAATTTTATTAATGACAAACTGATAATTAAAAAATTTTTCCTTTACTTATATTTAATAAAAATTATTATTTACAAAAATAAAGTTTTTAAGGATTGAATTAATAATATTGATATATATATATATATGATAATATATATGATAATATATGATATGATAGATGATATATGATATGATTATATATATATATAGATATATATAGATATATATATATATAGTATATAGTTATTATATATATATATATATATATATATACACATATACAGAGTTTACATTGATATATTAATTTATAAAAATTGCACAATATCGCACAATATTGCTATACTAGTTTTTGTGAGAGATTTATTGTCCTGTTTGATCTGGTGTCATTCATTTAAAATAAATTGGTTTCGGTTGTATGTTAATAATATGAGCGTAATAGTACCCAATTTAAAATTGAATAAATTATACAAAATATTTATATAAAATTTTAATTCAGTAAATATTTATTAAAAATTGAATTAAAATATTAGTAATAAATTTTTGGGTTTCCGGTTTCTTTATTGGTCATAATTATTGATAAAGTCTCCGATGATAAGGTCTCATGGCTGTCCTTCGCGCCAGATGAACATTAGTGAATGCTTCGTATCGATAAAGAATCGATAAAATTTTTTTAATAGAGTATTATTTTTTATCATTTCCTATGAAACCCGCGACGTCTAATTTGACAGTCTATTGAAAATTGGGCATTTCCATTTCGAAATTAATTTCAAATTTTTTTCGATAATATGCTAAAATGAAATTTGTTGATGCTAGTGTACGCGGATTTTGACGGTCCGACAAAAAAATTCGAGATAGCCACTTTCAAGTTTTTCTCTGATATTATATAATTTTTGCTCCTTCTGTTTAAAAACATAAATAGCATGTACGCAGTACACGTCTACAATGTTTAGTGTATTTAAAAGAGATAATTCTATGTCTAAAATAACAACAATTATTAAACATAAGTCTTGGAAATAAGAATATTAAAATTTTTTTAAAGATATATTTGTTTGATTAAGACATCATATAACAATACTAGTAATTAGAGAGAAAGAATAATAATGTTAGTTACTTAAAATATAATTAGGTTTTATGTACATAGTCTATTTACTAACATAATATTACTTATGTATATATAATATAAAAGATGCTTCCAAATTTGCAGTACATTATAAGTATTATATGTATATTGTATAAGTTATATTATATATATATATTACAAAAGTATTTTCGAGTATATAGATGATCAATAATTAATTGTACTTAATTATCTAGTAATAAATATAATTATAGCTCTCTGACTTTACAAATAATAGCACTTACTCAGCCTTGCAGTTTTTGTTTAAAGTTTTGAAAAATGCGATGTTTAATAATTCTTCCAAAACCGCAAAAACAATCAAAATTGCACAGCCTTTTGACACTTTTAAGCATCGCGTTAAAGAAGTTTACAATAGCGCGATGACTAAAGCATATTTGCCAAGAATATTCGCAACAACTTTTCGTAAGGCAACATTGGCATACTAATGTCTATATGTTTTGTATAAATTGTATAAATTGAGTTTTGTAAATATATTTTGCATTGCATGTTTACGAAAATTATCCATACGTAAATCAATATCAAAATTCCACGTGGATCATTTCGAATTTGCTTTAATATTAAGTCTTGAAATAAAGTCTGTTGCCTGGTTGTCTCCTTTCCGATGCTCCAATGCTCGAATGACATCCGTATCTATAAATTAATATAAACATAAATAATATAAATATAAATTATTGTGATATTCATTATAAATAATGTATAAAATTAAATTATGTAACAATATTTAAGACATATGTCTATATTCTTTAAATTATAATTTTTTCAAATTAAAAAAATTATATCATAAAATTAAATATCAAGAATGCATTATTATTATTATTGTCACACAAATAAAATAACTCAGACAATTATAATGACATGTATGTATATAAAGTATAAATTTATTTATTATATTATATCATTTTTACCTTTTTTGGTCGGACGAGAAAGTTTCAAATGAATTTGTTCTAAAGTTGCGAAGTTAGTTTCTGGTTCAGTGTCAGGAATTTCCTTAAATGGTAGAAAGGCTTCAGCCATAAATCTTGTTCTAAGAAAATCTTTGTCTTTTACTTCAAATGCTACTATAGCATTTTCTATAGCTCTTTGTTCCGAAGTAAGAGGACTACAAAGATAGAATTATTTTATTAATATTTCATTTCTATTTATATTTTATATCTATAATAATTCTTTTGATAATTAACTGTATTACTAACATGTTGAATGTCTCGTCGAAAAGAGGAAAAAGTGTTTCTTTTTGCACATGCGTCTTCGGTGCTTTGATTTCGGCAAATTTCTCTTCAGGTAGTAATTTGATTTTTACGTAGGAATCGCATTTACCTGTAATAAATATAGTAAAATCATATATCATATAATATAATTAAACATTTGTAGAAACCCACTATGAAATTTCATGCACGGTGATAACCAATGTTGACGCAATTTGTTTGTTTCAATGAGGTTCACTAAAACTAACTTAATTATTATTAATTAAAGTGATATTAATTAATTTTAACAACATGTATTTTACAACATGTAAATAATTTTTTATATGGATATTTTGCGCTAGTTCGCTTTTATTTAATATAAGCAATAATTTTAGAAAACCTCCTAGATAAGAGATTATAGGTAATCAACGTAAATAATATTCTGTATATATTTGATCATTTTGAATCAGGAAGACCAGTGTATTTACTAAACTATTTCTCTATTTTTAAAATACAAATTCATTCGTGCCATGCATTCCCAAAATGCTATTTCCACGAAAGCAAGCAATTGATAGAGAATTGTATAATAATTTGATGAGGAAGAACTTCACTTTACATTTGCTTTTACATACTTGTCTTCCCTTCTTTGATTCTTTGTTTAGATTTAGAATGTAGTTTACGCTCGAGAGTAGACAGCTTGCCTATAAAATTGCCTATAAAATCGAGAAAAAAAAATATCATTCTTTTCTCTAAATTCCGCGATTGTTTTCACCAGCAATTGAATATTAGAAATAAACTCGCATCATAATTTCTACTAAAAAAATATATAAATTTTTTATAATTAAGACTACGATATAACATTATAAATGCTTCGAAGCGTTTGATTGTCCAATCAAAACAAAGAATTTTATTAATATACCAAGCAAAAAATACTTCAAAGCATTTGTAGTAAGCCTTTGACCGTACCCTAAATTAATTATTGCTTAATTAATTAATTGGCTTGAAACATTTTTATTATATTACTTGATTAGTGTTTGTATCATCAGATGTTTTATTTATCAGATATTTTTTAACCGTAAAGTTCACTTTGTGTTTATCGAAATTGTTTATTTGTTATTGTCTAATAACATTTTTCTTGCTTTTGGAAATGTTAAACTTATATCATCAAAAAAAATCCCATATTATCCGCTTATATTTTTTTATAAAAAATATTATTTTACTCACCATTGCTATCCATACAACGAAGATTTCTGGCATTTAGAATTTGTATATTTAATGAATTGTCGACGAAAAATGCTTTCACAGTAATAAGACCATAAATAGGTTCTTCTATTTCCTTTTGTTCCTCCATACGTTCCTGATGATAACGATGTATGAGCTCGGCAGTCTCAAGTCCATGTAATTTTAAAAGACGTTCAATTTTCTCTAAAACTTGCACATTTGCTGCTTCATCGGCACCAAGATTGAAGAAGCGGATAAGCGTGTGAAGAGTTCTGTGTAAGTTTGAATAAAATGCTGGTGGTCGTCGTTTCTGTAAGCAAAAATGTCATTTTATAGAAAACTGAAGTTTTTTTACGATAAAAGAAGAGTATGTTTATTAACTCAATTATTACTTCTAAATTAATGTTGACTAACTCATACAGCGTCTGCGACATAATTTCCCAAATCACTAGGAGAACTCTGTTAAAGTTATCCTCGTTGAGATTGTCATGCAAAATTACTAGATTACTGTCTAAATACTGTAGCAGGCGATCCATTGCATTGCTGGTAGTGTCAATTAATTCGGCACCTTCCATGAGATATCTGAAAACATAAATAAAACGTAATTAAATTTTAAAAAATGAATTTATATACTTGTTATAAATTTCTTATAAAATTGTAAATCTCGCATAAATTTATAAATTAATTCATTATAAATGATTAAAAAAGTAAAGTTTATTAAAAAACGGTAGAAACAAATTCTTACTAATATTTGACTTACTGACCTATTCATTGCAGGAGCCATTTTGTTAGCTACAACTTCCAACAATTCTATGATCTTATTCTTCACAGTATCTGTGGCGTTATCAATGATAAGCTGAAGAGTCTGTCGACAACGCTCAGCCTCTTCATGAGTCTTATGTTCTCCTAAAGCATCCACAATATCTTGCAATCCTAAATCTTTGGCGAGTGGTGCGATTGATGTTCTAATATAATCTATATTATTAATCGCAAAGCACCAGGCTGTCGATATTGTAAATTTCTTTTCATAGACGCTGCTTTGCGAGAGTTGCTCTAATTCCGTTGTCAATTCCGCTTTTTCCGCCATTTTATCGGCGTATGCAATGGAACATTTACAAATATCCTATAAAATAATTATTTTAATAGTTTAAAAATTGCTCAAAATTATTAATTTTTTATTCATTAACGTGTAACATATCTGTTTTTCTATTAACAAAAACACATTAGATGCTATATGTCATTTATGATCTTATTAGATTTATTATAAAAGAATTTTCAAACTCACGTCAATAATTTTTGCAATGAACGTGTAGGAACCTTCGACATCAGGCCACGCTAATTGCGTCCAAAAGACTTTAATTTGATAAAAGGTTGTTAAAGTATCTACAGCGCTGGAACTATACTGAACACTATTGTCAACTGCTTGCAAGGTGTCAATTTCGACTGCTCTATCGATGCGTTTAAGTGCTTTATATACTGCAATATCTAGCCAATGTGCGACACCACTTCTAAACCAATCATAATAATTTTGTATCTTCATATCCTCTAATTGTCCTTCGGCACAAAGTATTTGACCAAGTCTATAAATTACGTATTGAAATGAGAAAAATTAATATTATTTGTAATGTAAATTTTGTAAAATTATATAAACTCACGTGGCGAATCTTTGAAGCGTAAGGTAAAGCTCGAATAAAGTCGTTCCTAAGCTCAATTCTGTATTGTCAGTGCTATCAACTTCAATTCGCTTCAATCTGGCACACACATCCTGTATAATGACCATGCACATATCACTGATTCTCTTTGCATAGGCGATATACATTGTTCTTGCATATGGAACGTTGACTCTTCTAAAATTTGTAAATAATATTTGTATTATGTTATTGAATATATAATTATACTCTGCTACTTGTGTATTTTTTTGTCAGCTTTACCTTATAAAGATTTTGTCATAATTATCAATAGCTTTCTGTAAATCTGCTCTAATCAATTGAATTACTTTAATTTGATACCTAAGTGCATCCTCGTCTGAATCTGTATCGGGAGAATTATTGCTTACGATGTGTTCAAACCTAGAATATATTAAAATTTAAAATACTAAATGCTTAATAAAAAATGCAAAAGAATAACGTATATTGAATTAATGCACATTGTTTTGCTTACCATTCAGTACAGCCTTGTACAATAGTGTATTCCAAACTTTGCAGTATGTCTACTTTTGTATCATCATGTTCAGGAAACCAAGAATACATTTTGGCAGGAAAGAGGTCAATGTCCTCAGGAACTTTTAGAGAGGATATAGATGACAATATCCTAAAATAATTGAAATTTAATTAAAAAAAATTTTTACTTGTTTAATTCCTTTTTTAATTTTATTTTTTTCTATATTAAATAATATTAAATACTAATTTCTCTTAATTGATATTTAATAATATTTAATATAGGGAAGCGTCTTTATTAATTTATTAATTGAATAAAAAAGCCAGTAAAATTATATATTTAATTAAAAATATAGTTAATTACCCTAAAATGGCGGATAGTTGTACTATTGTGTTTTTGTCCCCCAAAATCAATCTTCTAATTTTTCGTATACTGTTTAAGCATGAAAATAAAACTTTTTTCGTGGCGTTCCAAAAAAGTTTTGTTTCATCAGCGGAAAACAGGTCGTTGTCCATTGGTCTGAGCAAATCAACCGCGAGCTTATTAAAGACCGTGAAACTTAATGGGTGTTCCTGATGAATTCTTGCATATTCAATCCATTGTGCCAGAATGAGATTTCTAGCTAGTAAGCCACGTTGCGCACTATGTTGAAGAATAAGCGCTTCGGCTGGTCCTGACCAACGACCACACCAACAATACTTTTCGATTTTTTCCATTTCAATCTCATGAAGTAGTAACACTCTTAACAGGTGTCGATGTTCTTGTGCGGCCACTTGTGCATTATGTTCCGCGCTGAAGGCCAGTCGCAGCTTTACAACACCACGACGTTTGGTCTTATTTTTCTTCTCTAGACTGTACCACATAGTATGGCCTGTTGTTGGTATATCCTAAAGAAAATAGAAATAGAATATATAATTAATATCAAAAATATAAATACAGATAATATAATGTAATGCTATATATTTATATAAATTAATATAATGTAATGCTATATTTATATAAAAATGTACGTTTCTAAAAAAATAAAAATGAAATACATGCATGTAAAAATACGTTCCAAAGATTCCTAATTAAATTTCATATTACCTTCAATGATATCCGACATCGACCAATAAATTCGTTATCATGACTACCAGTTGTAGCCGTGACTGCTATTTCTTTGGCTAATTTAACTAAGCCACGAACACCTTTAACATCTTTAACTTTGCTCATTTTTTCAGGCACAGTTTCGGCAGCATCAAAATCCCTAGAAAATGCAATGAATCAATAATTAATAATTAATAATTAATTATTTATAACAATTATTTATAACCAAACTTACCAAACTTCAAGATAAAGGATATCATTTTCAGGATCTTCTAATGGCCTAAATGACAAATATAATTATAATAATATTTTGTAAAAAGTTTTTAAATTATAAAATAAAATTTAAATTTTAATCAGTTCTTAATATACTTTGTAAATTAATTTCTTATGTATATTTAATTAATTAATAAGATTAGCATAATGTAAAATTTAGTAGATGTATTTCTTTACGTATTAATTTAATTGTTTATATTTTCTTTTAAATATTCTAAAAAGATTAATAAAATCTATAATAAACATAATATGTGATTACATATACATATGTACACATATACATATACATATGTACACTATATATGTTTACATATATATCTAAATAATATTATTTAAAATAATTAAATTATTAAATATAAGATATTAAAATGGCAATTTTTTTACAGAAGTGAAAAAATATATATTTTACTCACAATTCAAAGTGTTCTTCCCAAATTGGACTTAATGTACATGTTTTTACGGCAGTATTGTATCTTCTAGTTGGCGCTGATTCGAGATAGAGAGCGCAGAAAGGATCGCTTTTGCCATTAGAATCTTTCGAAACTAATTCTTTAGCTTCGATTACTTCAATGTTAAGATGTAATTCTGGTGGCTAAGTATAAGTAACAAATTCTTTAAATATATGTATGACAAAATTATGCTATATCAAAATAATTATAATTTAATATATACATATAAATTACCTCAAGGTTTCGCGTTTGTTCCAACACTCTCTCATGCGTTTTGTTATCGATTTTGAAAGCATTTTGTAAATGATTCAATAGAGATTCTTGGCTACATTCTTTAGAAACATCAAAACCAATTTGATGTTGTGTCATATACACTAATGCGGTATAAAGTTCCTCAATCTATAACATATGAAAAATATTATAAAGAAATAGAAAAAATTTTTTGAGAAATAAAATATATATATTAAACATTTTGTAAATAATTTTTATTAATTATTGTTAGCAATTGGTTAATATTTTATCTATTTTATTTTCTTTAAATTTAGATAATACTTTAATTGTCGTGTTATCTACTTAAGTGTTATGATAATATAATCTGCTATTGATATTAAACAATTTTAATTTTATGGTTTTGCTGGTGATATAATCAAATGTTAGAATATAAAAATTAACCATCTATTTCTTAATTGAAGAACAGAATAAAATATTCTTTAACGCTTTTGAAATGACATTATTAGATTCAAACTGAATTATGAAATTAGAGTAGAATTTACATACAATTACATATATATATATATATATATATATATATATATATATATATATATACT